TACTCTAAAACTGTAGATTTGGTCAGTTTGAGCTTTAACAGTGATGGCAAAAAAAAGTAAAGGAATAAGAATAATGAGAAATAAAAAGTCAAAAACAGCTACATTTGCAATACATTGCTCTTTAATGTTATAATACCAGAATGACAGCAGAATAACAATTTATTGGAGTTGATAGTCATGATGACGTTCATTTATCAGTTGCACCGATCTGTCCTGCAGCAAGAAGAAGAAGATTTCCCTGGACGATCCATAAACGTGCACAAATCTGAGCTAATGCAACCCTTGAAGAAGTTGGGAGCTTTGAAAAAACATGGAAAAACACAGGATAAATTATCATAGGAAGCATTATTTTTCTTCTTCTTATTAGTCACTTTATTGTGACCATCTCCTGTTACTGCTGCTCCAGCTGAGTGAAGACTAAAACACTTACGGGATTCATCATACATGATGACGGTGACACAGGAAACGCTTGCACCGTAGCAGGTCTGCACAGGGCTTGAGCATTTATTCAGGCCTCCACAGTTACACGTCAAGGGTTCACCTGGGAAAAAAAGAAACACATTTTCAACATCCTAATCAAACTAACTCTGCAATTTCATTTTAATTTAGGTAAAATAGACTGCATGTTGAAGGTCAACTCACTCTGGCTGACAGCCAACAATACAAACAGAGCAAGAATCACAGTTTTCATGTTTTCACAATGTCACGTCTCTGCGCAGAAGTCTCTGTTTAAAAAAAGTTGGGAAAGTGTGAGAAGATCAGACACCAATTAAATGCAATAACACTTATTCAAAACCTTAAAGATAACCTACCTGAATGAATATGATTGTCCTTGTGGAGAGTTGATACCCTGACTTCCTTTTTATCCTCTTTTGTTGCGCAATCTTTTCACTATTGATACTAAATATTCAGTTTATTTCAAACTGTCATCTGGGGTTTTCTCAGAGTGACTCTTTGACGTCAGACATGGTTGCTGTGAAAACCCCCTCTTACACTCCTGAGTTACAGGGCATGCACTGTTAACACCATAACCACTCAAATAAGACATATTAAGAATACTAATAAACACACGAATAATAATGTTCTTCATAAAATTTTGTTAAAATTAAACGTTGGTGGGAAATTTAATAACCTGTTCAAGCAGAGATTTAAAAATTCGAGTGTAAATGTGAAAATGTTGAGAGGTTTTCTTGCCCAGACAAATATCAGCTTTGTTTGACTTGTTTTCTTGCTAAATCATCAAAATGATTGTCATAATCAAAACCAACAACACGACCATAAAAGATAAAACATCCGATTTATTTGTTTATGAGGACTGTACTTTTATTTTTTTTTTTATTCTGACAGCGAAGCATGTCACTATGTAATGACCAGAAGAGACCTTAGTTGAAACGAGCCAGGGAAACTCAAATGCAAAACTTCAAATGAAACTACCAAATGAAACCAAACAATGAAACTCCAAAAATAAACACGAAAATCGAATGCCTTTGAGGGCAGTTTACACTCATTTGCATAACTCGAAAGTGAACTGTTTGAATGAATGTTCATAGAAATATACGAGAAGCTAAACATTGATCCCGAATAAAGCCTGTCTTTTAAAACTCGTGATCAGAATGCTGAAGCTTGTTCCCTCCTCCACAAAATACACTGAAACAGATACCTGTATGTTACCGTTGTTAAATCAGATAAAGAGTCGAGATATTTGATCAGCAGAACTCAATGAATCCCACAGCCACTAATGAGAGAAACAACAGCCACCAAATCCCCTCTTTCGCTGTATTAAAGCTTGGGTAAACCTAAGTGTTCTTCGTGTCTAGTAAGTTGGGTGGCAGTGGATACCCACTTTAACACCCGATTAAGCTGGAGCTCAACACAACATGAATGTCCGATTCCTGACAAAAACCCCTCGCACCGCTCTCGCCTCTTCTTAAATCGTTCCCCCCTTAATAATACCTTATGTTGATCAACCAATATGGAGGCTCCTGTAACCTCACCTAAAGACCAGTTGATTAATCTCTATTCTGTTGATTTTAGGTGGTTTTCGCACACAATTATCTGACCTAACAACGTTTCTTGGCTGGGTTCTGCAGATCTTTGTTCTGATGTTTTTAGAGCACAAATAAAAGAAAACATGAGGGGGATCATGAATGTTTTTTAATCATCCTAACAACACATCAGGGACCAATATTTAACCCATCTTCTTACTGAATCTCATCTCCCAACAACACAACGGCGGCCGCGGCCCGGGCCGAAGAGATTACTCCCTGGTCTAAAATATGATCCCTGATGTGTTTTAGATGAATTAGAAAAACATTGCAATGCTCCTCCATGCTTTTCTTTTATTTGTGTCCTCTCAAGCACAAAAGAGCTCAGACCAGCAAGAACTCTTGTTAACTCGAATAATTTGTGCAAGTCACCTTGAAAATCAAACAAATAGAGATTAATCAAACTGGTTCTAGGAGGTAGCAGCGAGCCTACATATTTGATCAACCATCTTGCACACGGGTATTCTAAGGGAGATTAAGAAAGATTGGGGGCTGAGATGCTTTTTCAGGTTTTGGCTCAAATCGACATTCATGGTTGTGTTGAGCTTCCAGTTAAATCTGGTTTTTAAAGTTCTCATCCCACTGCCACCCAACTTAACTAACACTGAAAAACCTTCAGTTGTACCCCAAGCTTTTACAGCGAAAGAGGATTTGTGGCTGTTGTTTCTTCCTCATGTAACGTGGCTGTGGATTCATTGATGTTTCTGATCGTATCTCGACTCTTTTATCTGATGGTATACAAGTGAATCATTATCAAGTACTTTCATGTATTCTGTGGGAGAGGGACACAGCTCAGCCATTCCCTGATGCAGCAGTAAAAAACAGGCTGATATTCATCTCAATGTTAGGTCTCTTATATTTCTATGAACATTTCATTCAAAAGTTTCACTTTCAGTATGCAAAGATTACAACTGCCCTCAACACATTTGATTTTTCGTGTTTTATTTTGAGTTTCATTTTGAGTTTCATTTTGAGCTTTCATTTGAGCTTTCACTTTTGAGTTCCCCTGGCTCGGTTTCCAACAGAGTCTCCTGTCCTGTCCAACACACGGCTTTCCTGTGTCAGAAAAAAAAACAAAAAAAGTACAGCGCTCAAAACAAATAAGAGTCATGTTGTATCTTTATGGTGGTGTTTTGGGTGGATTATGACAACATTGATTGATTTAAAGACGTAAAACAAGTCAACACCACCTGATATTGTCTGGCAAGAAAAGCTCCTTCAACATTTCACTTTCTACATCGAATTTTTAAGATCTCTGGCTTGAACAGGTATTATGCACTTATGTACGAATATTGAGAAGCATTATTTCCGATAGTAATATCTTTAATATGGTCTTATTGAGGTGGTTAGCGTGTCTAACACGTGCATGGCCCTGTAACGTCGGAGTGTAAGAGGGGGTTCAGCAGCAAGCATTGTCTGACGCTCCAAGAGTCACTCTGAGAAATACTCCAGATGACATTTGAAATAAAACTGCGAATATTTCAGTACCAATGTCGAAAGATGCCGCAACAAAAGGAGGATAAAAAGAAGTCAGGGTATAAACTCTCCACCAAGGACAATCATACTTCATTCAGGCTGACAGGTTATGCTTTAAGCTTTTTGAAAAAGTCGTCTACTTGCGATTTAACTTGGGCTGTCTGATGCTTCTGGCGCATTTCCCAACTTTTTTGGGTAAACAGAGGACTTTCTGCGCAGAGACCGTGACATTGTGAAAACCCTCGAAAACTTGGATTCCTTGCTCTGTTTGCTATTGTTGGCTTGTCAGCCAGAGTGCGCTTGACGCTTCAACCATGCAGTCTATTTTACTAAATTCAAAATGAAACTCTGGCAGGTTGGTTTGATTAGGATCGCTCTGCAAAATGTGTTTCTTTTCTTCTCCAAGGGTGACCCCTTGACCGTGTACCTGTGGAGGCCTGAATCAATGCCTCAAAGGCCCCTGTGCAGACCTGCTACGGTGGCAAGCTTCCTGCTGTCACCGTCATCATGTATGATCCGAACTCCCGTAACGGTCCTTTAGTCTCACCGCTGGAGCAGCAGTAACAGGAGAGTGGTACAATCAAAGTGAACTAAATAACGCAAAACGACAAAATAGGCTTGCCTATGCACTAATTGGGTAGTGCCTGTGTTTTTCGCATGTTTTTTTCAAACTCCCAAACCTTGCTTCAAGGTTCTGGCATTAGCTGAGATTTGTGCACGTTTATGGATCGTCCGCGGAAAATCTTCTTCTTCTTGCTGCAGGAAGATCGCCGGGCAACTGATAAATGAAACGTCATCGATGATTAATCACTCCAACTACAATTGTTATTCTGCTGTCATTTCTGGGTATCTGGATGACACCAGTTAAAGAGGCAATGTAACCCCTTCCGCAAACTCGCTACTGTTTCTTGACTCTTTTATTTCTAATTATTCTTATCTCGCTTCTCACTTTTTTTTGCGCATCACCTGTTAAAGCTCAAAACTGACCGAACTCTACAGTTTT